TATACCACTGTCTTCTGAGCTTTGGTGCAGAGCTTAGATAGAGTTATTACCTTAGCACCAGGTCCATATCTACGAAGTTCAGATTCTTCCAGGTGGGTGTTGTTTGGATCTGGCTGCTGTGCTCCACTTCTTTCTGCTGCAGGCGTTAGAGTTGAACCCTTTGTGTCTCTCTGGTAAGATGTTCTGCTCCTGAATCAGCTGGGTGCGTCTTGCCTCTAGCCTCTTTGCAGGGAGTTCTGCTGAAGGATTCCGTGCTGGGCCTGCAGCCTGGGTCAGATGAGGATCCGCGGGCCCCGGGTAGTCTCACTCACTCCCCGGGCTTGCGCTCTGGGTCTATTCTACAGATTCTTAAAAATATACTTTTAGTGCCTCTGGATAAAACTGGGAACAGTTTCTGTCAAGCATGGTTCTGGATTGAGTGTTAGAATCTGTGATCTTGTCAGTCCCTGTGACAATGATGGAGTGATAAAGATATGGAGAGTGGAATAGAGGAAAGGACAGTGAAATATTTACAGACGAAGGCGTAAAGCTAATTATTATTGGAGGAAACTATTTATCATTCAGTAATTTATTTCTTTAATTTTGGGTTTGTTTTTAATTATTTGATTGTCATTATTTTGACCTTCCCTGTGACATCCGTGTCTTTATTCTCTCCTACACACGGTCGCACACACACATACAGCTCTACATAGAACTTTTACATTCTGTAAAGAGCAGAAGGTAAGTATGACAGACTGGCAGGGTTTCCTTCAGAATGGTTTTTGGTGATTAGCTAAAGTAGACTCGATATAATTTTTAGATGACTTTTAAGAATTTTGTTGTAGTAAACGTTGCTGTGAGGAATATTCAACAAAATAAATTCTACTCTTTTTCTGAAAAGAAAGTATCAATGACAAACTAAGTACTCTTTGTTTTCTTCTTTTTTCTTTTCTGTTTCTAAAGAGCCAAACTGACATCAGATGCAGAGAAGGAATCAGTGATGATGTTCGGACAGAACCTTCGTCAGCTCCTTTTAACAAGCCCTGTTCCAGGGCGTACCTTGATGGGAGTGGATCCTGGTTACAAGCATGGCTGCAAGTTAGCTATAA